TCTGACTGGTGAGTTGAGGATAGACAGACAAGGAAGGGGCAGAAACAGGTTTTATTTTCTTTGTGGAATGGCAAGAAAATTCAGTAAAGTTGTGAGAACATGCTTTATCAAGACAACAGAGACTCAGAGAGGTAAAGTAGCATGTTCAAGGTCACACAGCTAGAAGAGGACAGAGCTGCATCTAGCTCCAGATTTTCAATCTTCCGTGAAAGGAGTAGCTAAATTTACAGAATGCAGCATCACTTCAGGAAGATTTTTAAAGAATCCCTGCTAAAATGCTGCTAAGTATTTGTGAATATTGCATCAGAAAGGGGGATTAGGAGAGAGCAGAGTTTTTTTTTTGTTTTTTTTTTTTTTAAGGGGGCAGACAGATACTAAATGTAGGCCTGCACTGTCTCCCTTCCACCATTAGATGGCAATTTTTTATTTGTTACAGAGGAAATGGTGCCGCAGTTTACTGGGCAGTTGACAAAAATGAAGGAATTATGAACTAAAACCAACGAATACATGGATCAAGGCTTTGGAAAAAAAAAATCCAATTGATCCAATACATGTGTGGGGTGGTAAGACAGGGGGATCTGGGCTTTGAGAGCAGTGGTAGAATGAACAAAAAATTTTGACAATCACAGCTGACAGCACAAATTAGAACACTGATTTTCAAACAGCAGGTTGTAAAGAAGAGTAGTTCCTAAAATCAATTCATCGAGGGACAATTGGCAGTCTTTTAATTCAAAAGAACAGAATAAAAGAAAATAACAGAATAGAAAATGTTGGAATGCATTGCACATTGTAAGATCAGAATTAATTTGGGAATCTTGTCTAATTTTACAAAAGTCAATATGTATATATTGAGTCATAATACAAAATGTATTTAAAATTTTTTATCATGAGTATAGTCAAAAAAAGTTTTAAGAAACACTGGACTAGATGAAATATAAATGAACAGAAGGATTGCACCTACTTGAAACACATTATTTTGTGGAGGTATTTATCTTTATTTTAAACTTTCTTTTTTTTTCTTCCCCCTACCTCCTAGTCTCGGGGCTTCTTATGGGCTGAATTTGTGACCCTCCCAGCAAATTCATATGTTGCAGCCCCAATTAATCGCTCAGTTGTGTCTGACTCTTTGTGACCCCATTGACTGTAACCTGCCAGGTTCCTCTGTTCATGGGATTCTCCAGGCCAAGAATACTGGAGTGGGTTGCCATTTCCTTCTCCAGGAGATCTTTGTGACCCAGGGATCGAGGGGGGAGGGGGGAGGAAGGGAGAGGGAGGAGGGCGGGTCTCCTGCATTGCAGGCAGGTTCTTTACCACTGAGCCACCCCTGAAGCCCTATGTTGAAGCCCAACCCCCAATAGCTCAGAATGCGACTTTATTTGGAGATAGGGCCTTTACGGAGGTGATTAAGTTAAAATGAGGCCATTAGGGTGGTCCCTAATCCATTCTGATGTCAGAGGAAAATTTGGACACAAAAAGAGACATCAGGGATGTATGTGCACAGAGGAAAGAACATGTGAGAACACTGGGAAGAAGCTGGCCACCTAAAAACCAAGGAAAGAGTTCTCAGGAGACACTGAACCTACTGACACCTTGATCTTGGACTTCTAGCTTCCAGACCATGAAAGAAATTAATTACTGTTGTCGAGTCACCCAGCCTGTGGCATTTTGTTATGATAGCCCTAGCAAACTAATCCAGGACTACAGTCTGCTAGTCTATTTCTGGGACCTGGGGCAAGAAAAGACCTGGGTCAACTGAATGTCCTGCTGCTTTTCAAACGGGAGTTCCTGGATTCAGTTCAGTTCTTCACAGAGGAAAGTTCATAAGCTCCTATGCCAAATGTACCTGCATTCTTATAGCCATTCCATCATTTTAATAAGGGTGTGATTTTGCTTTTTCACCTCTCCAAGATTAAATTTCCTCATAAATAAAGTCACATTAATAATACTTTTCCTCAATGTTGATGTAAAGATTAAATCTATACAAAATCAGTTGATATTACAGAAAAATTGGCTTGCATTGTGGAGACAGCCCAAGGCAAAGCACAAGTACATCCATCCTCAGTAAATCGAGATTTGCAGACTTATGGATGGCTTTTATACCAGGAGAAGATAAGATATGCCCGAGTGTATTTGAGGGAAACTACCCTAATAACCCCTTTTCCAGTGTTACTTTTTGGTGGTGATATAGAAGTTCAGCACCGGGAACGCCTTATCTCTGTTGATGGCTGGATCTATTTTCAGGCACCTGTTAAGATAGCTGTCATTTTCAAGCAGCTACAAGTTCTCATTGATTCTGTTTTAAGAAAAAAGCTTGAAAACCCTAAGATGTCTCTTGAAAATGACAAGATTCTCCAGATCATTACTGAATTGATAAAAACAGAGTAATTGAAACTGCAATTCATGATCAACTGCTTTGAAGAGAGTCATGAAATTATGTGAAAGTGGACCATCCCATGAAGTATTTCAGTACTTAAAATGTTGGTACTAGTCATCATGTGAAGGTGGTGGGAAAAAGCACATACTTTAAATGTGTGAAATTTTCTAATTTCTTTTTAATGATAGTTATTCTCAGTGTATTTGCCACTACATTTACAATAAATTCTTTGGTATCAAAAAAAAAATAAATAAATGATATACAGTTGGCTTTCTATACCCACAGGTTCCACATCTACAGATGCAACCAATTCTGAATCATAAATACTTGGGGAAAAAATCCAAAGTGTTCCAAAAATCAAAACTTCAATTTGCTGCATGCCAGCAACTAATTACATAGCATTTACATTGTATTAGGTATAATAGGTAATCTAGAGGATTTTGAGAATCCATGGATTTTGGTATCCATGGAGTGTCCTGGAGCCATGGATACCAAGGGACAACTGGAATTATCTAAAATTGTTAGCAGTCAATAAATCACTGTAGATTTTCCTGCTGTTGTCATAGTAGTTGTTTATTATTATGTGTTCATTTTGTGGCTGTTCCAATATCTCTCTTTCCTTGAAAGGTATGTTGTCTTCTGGAACAGTAACTAAAACGGTTGAGAGGTAGAAAACGGGAATGAGAAACTGAAAAGATCGAAATTATTTGATCCAACGTAGAAAGGTTTGACTAGAGGAAAGAAGTGGTTGTCACACGGTTGTGCGATATAGCACCAGTTCAAGGGACTGAAGTTAATTAGGAAATAGATCAGAGAGTTTAATAATAATTTAAAAACTCATACAAATAATAGACAAACATAAATGAGTTTCTTTTTAAGATTTTTTAGATAATTGTGGATGCATATACAGTTGTAATAAATAATACAGAGAGATCCTGTATACCCTTTACCCAGTTTTCTTGAATGATAACATCTTGCAAAACTATAGTACAAGCAGGCAGATTCATAAAGACAGAAAATAGAATAGAGATTGCCAAGGGCTGAGAGGGGAAATGGGGAGTTATTGTTTAATGATTATAGAGGGTTTTTTTTCCTTTTTTATTTATTTATTTTACTTTACAACATTGTATTGATTTTGCCATACATTGACTTGAATCCGCCATGGGTGTACATGTGTTCCCCATCCTGAACTCCCCTCCCACCTCCCTCCCCATCCCATCCCTCTGGGTCATCCCAGTGCACCAGCCCCGAGCACCCTGTATCATGCATCGAACCTGGACTGGCAATTCTTTCACATATGCTAATTTGCATGTTTCAATGCCATTCTCCCATATCATCCCATCCTTGCCCTCTCCCACAGAGTCCAAAAGACTGTTCAATACATCTGTGTCTCTTATGCTGTCTTGCATACAGGGTTATCGTTACCATCTTTCTAAATTCCATATATATGCGTTAGTATACTGTATTGGTGTTTTTCTTTCTGGCCTACTTTACTCTGTATAATAGGCTCCAGTTTCATCCATCTCATTAGAACTGATTCAAATGAATTCTTCTTAATGGCTGAGTAATATTCCATTATGTATATGTACCACAGCTTTCTTATCCATACATCTGCTAATGGACATCTAGGTTGCTTCCATGTCCTGGCTATTATAAACAGTGCTGCATGAACATTGGGGTACACGTGTCTCTTTCAATTCTGGTTTCCTCAGTGTGTATGCACAGCAGTGGTATTGCTGGGTCATATGGCAGTTCTATTTCCAGCTTTTTAAGGAACCTCCACACTGTTCTCCATAGTGGCTGTACTAGTTTGCATTCCTACCAACAGTGTTAAGAGGGTTCCCTTTTCTCCACACCCTCTCCAGCATTTATTGCTTGTAGACTTTTGGATAGCAGCCATTCTGACTGGCATGAGATGGTACCTCATTGTGGTTTTGATTTGCATTTCTCTGATAATGAGTGATGTTGAGCATCTTTTCATGTATTTGTTAGCCATCTGTATGTCTTCTTTGGAGAAATGTGTGTTTAGTTCTTTGGTCCACTTTTTGATTGGGTCTTTTATTTTTCTGGAATTGAGCTGCAGGTGTTGCTTGTATATTTTTGAGATTAATTCTTTGTCCATTGCTTCATTTGCTATTATTTTCTCCCATTCTGAAGGCTGTCTTTTCACCTTGCTTATAGTTTCCTTTGTTGTGCAAAAGCTTTTAATTTTAATTAGGTCCCATTTATTCATTTTTGCTTTTATTTCCAATACTCTGGGAGGTGGGTCATAGAGGATCCTGCTGTGGTTTATGTCAGAGAGTATTTTGCCTATGTTCTCCTCTAGGAGTTTAATAGTTTCTGGTCTTACGGTTTTTGGGGTTTTGTTTGTTTGTTTGTTTGTTTTTATCCCCAGATGTATTTTTTATAAAGGACCACCTTAAATGAGAATGAAGATGAGACAATACATGAGGAAATAACCACTGATATGGAATATCACGTTCCTGGGAAACGGTCTAATTCTCCATGTCTTTTTGGCAGATGATAGGAGTGGAATGAAACTAGGATTCTAATTGGCCCTCTGATAGTCCTGCTCCTTTCTGCTCACTCCCCCTTCCAGGTGGCTGAGAAAGAACATGCGACCCACCGAAGACCTTGCCGCTGTCTCTCAGAGGTTGTCGGTGTTCGGACGATCCAGTTGGTGACCCTGTGCAGGGCGGCAGAGCACCGTGGTGGTTTTCAAACATGTGGTCTCGGCCTGCAACGCGGTGAACGCGTTCCAGAGCAGGGTGCCGGGCAGCATGTTCCAGTGCACCTGGTAACAGCGGTTCATGTTGAGAGAGCTGAGACTGCCCCCGGCCAAGAGTCAACCTAAGTTCCCCAAGCGCGTTTGACATCATCTGTTTTCCATCAAGGCTCCAGCACAATACAATCATAGTGACTGGTATTTAAGCACTGAAAGAAGGCACAGCGAGGTTTATTCGGCTCGGGGACTGAGAAGCTGGAGCAGCGGTACAACGCTTCCCTGGAGGCACCCGGCTGGGCCGTGCTGTCATCAGAGCTTCGCCTTTCTGGACAGGAAGCTCACGATGGCATTCATGCACTCGTCTGACAGCCACCTCTCCCTCAGGACACTGCTTTCTTCCGCGTTGACCACTTGCAACTTTTCTTTCTTCCCGTTTCTGATGATCTGCTTGGAAATTCTCATGGCATTTGGGGGGAGCTTTGAATATGCTTTTAGCCTGTCCCAAACTTCTTTCTGAAAAGTGCTGTCAGGAAAAACTTCGGTAACAAGTCCTTGGGCATACGCTTCCTGGGCCGTTAACTTCTTCCCAAAAAGGAGCATCTCTGCCACCTTGCTTGAGCTCATTATCTTGGAAAAAGTGTAGAGGAACAGCCTTCTGGACTCTGGCCCAGGTGACTGAACTGGGTGTGAAAGGTTGCCCGGTCTGTCGCATACATGACGTCAGACAGCTCGATGATGGTGATGGAGATCCCCACAGCCGGCCCGTTGACCATGGCCACCAGAGGCTTTGGGAAATCTATGAAACAGTTGACGAAATCCCTCAGGAGAACCTCCCTGCTCCTGGCCATCTCCTCCAGCCCACCGGCAGGCAGATTCGTGAAGTTGGTCAGGTCGTTCCCGCTGCAGTAGTAGTCCCTGCTGCCTGTTAAAACAGTTATGGCTGACTCATCCTTGCTTGCAGCCTGAAGTGCAGCTATGATGTCATGATACATCTGAGTGGTGAGAGCATTTCTTTTGGTTGGACGGTTCAACCGGATGGTGGTGATGCCGTCTTCGGAGGTCACCACCAGGCTGTCGCTTTCCGGTTGCTTCCTGTCTGCTGCAGGTGCCTCTGGGTGGGGGACTCAGAGGAAGCAGACTGGACACCAAGTCCACGTAGTTCTGTTGGGCAGCTTCCTTGGACAGACTGCCAAGAGCATTCCATGCATCCTATTTGGTCTTATTGATAAAGTCCAGCATACCTGGTTTGGGCACGTTACAAGGTCCTTCAGTGGCCTGCTTGTAGAGTGCGTAGAGTTTCAGCTTCACTTAATTGACCGGATCTTCCTTCAGGAGCTTCACCTGGTTCACTGTGTTGTTAAAGTCCTTCTGGCTGGTTCACATGGCAGGGCTGGGACCTGCGGGGGACTGGAGGAATCCACTTGGCCTGGATGCTAGGCTGTGAAGCTCACTAAGCAGACACGCTCAGTCCTCACCTCCAGAAGTCTAAAAAGCCAGCATCAGAGTGGGGACAGCAAGCGTGGCCAGGTAAGTCCTTTTTAAGCACACACTGCGGAGAAGCCCAGAGCACCAGTGCCTGGTGAGCTGGCCTTCCAACCCCGCCATGGCCGACCAAGGACAAAGGCGGGACTTCCGGGAGAGGTTTTGTTTTGACTGATGGAAAAGTTTTGGAAACTGATTGTGGTGATGGTTATAACACATTGTGAATATGCTTAATACCACTGATTGGTACCATTGAAAATGGCAAACTTCAAGCTATGTATATTTTATCACACTAATTTAAAAATCTTGTTATGGACTGAATGAATCTCACCCAGAATTCATATGTTGAAGCCCTAACCCCTAATATGATAGTATCTGGAAGTAGGGCCTTTGAGTTAATTAGGTTCAGGTGATGTTATGAGAGTGAGGCCCCCACGATGGTGTTAATATTCTTATAAGAAGAGAGACACCAGAGTTCTCTCTCTTGTGCCATCTGAGAATACAGCAAGAAAATGGCCATTTACAAGCCAGGAAGAGGGCCCTTACAAGAAACTGAATCTGTCAGGACTTTAATTTTGGGCTTCATAGCATTCAGAACTGTGAGAAATAAATGTCTGTTGCTTAAGCCACCCAGCCCATGGTATTTTCTTGTGGAGGCCTGAGCAGACTGACACACCTCTAGTAGAATATCACAACCAGTATATTGACATTAATACAATCAAGATACAGAACAGTTACATCACAGCAGGGATCCCTTGTGTTGTCTTTTATAGTCACACTCTCCTCTCTTATCCCTGTCCTATGGCAACTACATCTCTCCATTTCTATAATTTTGTACTTTTAAGAATGTTACATGGATAGAGTCATGTGGTATGTGAGGTTTTGGGATTGACTTTTTTTTTCTCTCTCAGTCTAATTCCTTTGAAAGTGAAAGTGTTAGTTTCTCAGTCCTGTCCGACTCTTGGTGACCCCATGGACTGTAGCCCGCCAGGCTCCTCTGTCCATGGGATTTTCCAGGCAAGAATACTGGAGTGGGTTGCTGTGCCCTTCTCCAGGGGATCTTCTCCACCCAGGGACTGAACCCAGGTCTCCTGCCTTGCAGGCGGATAATTTACTGTCTGAGCCATCAGGGAAGCCCTAATTCCCTTAAGATCCATCCAGACTGTTGCTGTATTGTCAATAGTCTGTTCCTTTTTCTTGCTAAGAGGTATTCCATTGGTATGGATGTACCACAGTATGTCTGTGTCTAACCATTCCCCTACTGAAGGAAATTTGGGTTATTTTCAGTTTTAGGCTATTATTCAGTTCAGTTCAGCTCATTATTAATAAAGCTTATATGAACATTTGTGTATTTATGCCAAATAGTGCAATTGCTGGGTTGTATGCTAAGTCGTGTTTAGTTTTCTAAGAAAGTGCTGTACTCGTTATGAGAGTAGCTGTACAATTTCCCATTCCCACTAGCTATGCATGAGTGATCCAGTTTTTCCACATCTTTGCAAACATTAGGTATTTTTTTACTATTTTTTATTATAGCTATGCTGATATTCAAATGTTGAGCCAGTCTTTCAAACTTAGAATAAATCCCACTTGGTAATGGTGTATAAACTTTTACATATTGCTGGATTAGATTTGCTAATATTTTATTGAGGGTTGTGTGTATTTAAGTTCATGGGAGATATTGTTTTATAGTTTTTTATTTTCTGTACTGTCTTTGGTTTGGTATCTGACTAATATTAGTATTACAAAATAAGTTGGATGGTGTTCCCATTGCTGCTATTTTCTGGTAGCAGTTGTGGAAAACTGACATTAATTCTTCTTTAAATGTATGGTAGAGTTTTCCAGTGAAACTGTTCAGGAGCTTTTCGCTAATAATCACAAATTCATTTTTTTTCAGTGCTTATAGGACTATTTTTACCTATTTTGTTGAGGTTGAGTATGATAGTTTGTGGATTTGGAGGAACTGGTCCACTTCTTAGTTTTCAAATTTATAAGAGTATAGTTCATAGTATTCCTTTATTGTCCTTTTAATGGCTTCAGGATCTGAAATGATATCTGATGTTTTATTTCTTATATTGATGATATGGGTCTTCTCTCTTTCTTCATCTTTGTCAGTCTTGCTAAAAGTTTATCAGTTTTTATCGATTTCTTAAGAACTTTCTGTTTCATTGATTTTCTGTCTTGTGTTCCTATTTTTAATTTCATTGATTTCTGCTCATATCTTTCTTTATTATTTCCCTTCCTGTGCTTCCCTTGGGTTTATTTTGCTCTTCTATTTCTAATTTCTTGTTTTTACCCATTCTGATATTCTTCTTTTCTTTTTGAAGTTTCAAACCTTCTGTTATCATCTTTGCTAGTTAGAAAAACTCCTTTAGCCATTCTTCAAGGGTAGGTTTCTAGTAACAAATTCTCTTAGTTTCCTTTGACAAAGAATGCTTTTACTTCCTCTTAATTCCTGAATGCTATTTTGACTTGATATAGAGTTCACAACTGACAGATCTTTTCTTTCAGTATTTGAAAAATGTTGTGCTATTTCCTGCTGGCCTCCATGGTTTCTTTTGAGAAATACCCTGTAATTCAAATTGGTATTCCACAATAAATAATGTGTTGTTTCTCTCTGGCTGCTTTCATGTTTTGTTGTTTCTTTTCAGTTTTCAAAATTTTTCAGAAATTTTGTGCCTTGACATGGATTTTGTTAGGTTTATTCTGTGTGAGATTCACTCAGTTTCTTGATTCTTCTTGAATTCACCACATTTGGGAAGTTTTCAACCATTACTTCCTCAAAAACATTTTCAGTTCCATTCTCTCTCTCTTTCCTGCTATCCCAAGATACAGAAGTTAGATCTTCTGTTACTCCATTAGTCCCTGAGACTGTTCATTTTTTTTCACTTGTTTTTCAGATTGGGAAAATTCTATTGATGTGTCCTCAAATTCACAGATTTTCTTCTGTTGTCACTCTTTTTATCATTGTATTTTTCAGTTCTATAATCTCTATTTGGTTCTCTCATATAACTTCTATTTCTTTGCTGAAATTTTCTAGACTGTTTCATTTGTTTGAAGAGAACTTGGAATTGACTGTTGAAGCATTTTTATGATGGTTGCTTTAAAATTCTTGTCAGATCATTCCATCATCTGATTCATTGCCTTCTTGGTGTCTGTTGATGGTCTTCTCTCATTCATGTTGTGATCTTCCTGGTTCTTGGTATGATGAGTGACTTTTTGATTGTATCCCGAACATTTTGGATATCATATCAGTAGACTCTGGATCCTATTATATTTTTTTTCTTTTTAAACAGGCAGCCCCCTGGTTGAGTTGTAGCAGGATGGCTGAGTGGTGTATAAGTTCAGCTTCCTTCTGGTCCCTGATGATTCTACCCCAGCAAAAGTAAGCAGTGACTCCTACTGCCATCTTAACAGATATGTGAGCTGGAAGTTAGGCACCCCTCCCACCCCCAGGTCCATGACACCTTCCTTGTGAAAACAGGGCACTGACACATGACATCTCACTGCCTTCTAGTGTGGATATAGGCTTACTTCCACTGGTCCCCACTGACATAAGTGAGGGGCAAAGCCCAGAGTAGGCTCACTGCTTTTTTGCTACAGGGTGGGGGCAGTAGCTTGGCTTTATGCTGAGCCCTTCAGACACAAAAGGAGAGGAACGGGAAAGTGGAATGCCAACAAACTCCACCTCTCAACAGCTCCTTCTGCATT